GTCTACTTTCATCATTACCTGGCTGTCCACTATATAGACTAGGAAGTTTCTCCCAGATTATTGAGGCATGACTGACAAATAAAAATTGCATATTTTGGTTATACAATGTGATTTTTAAAGGTCCATTACATGATGATTTAATATATACATTGCGAAATGATTACCACAATCAAATTAACATACCTATCACTTCACGTAGTCACTGTTTATGTATGTGCATGCATGTGTGTGTGTTGAGAACATTTAAAAGCTACTCTCTTTAAAAATATTAGCTGTTGCAATGGGGTGGATGGTGGGAGGGAGGTCCAAGAGGGAGGGTACATATGTCTACCTATGGCTGATTCATGTTGATGTATGACAGAAACCAACACAGTACTGTAAAACAATTATCTTTCAATTAAAAATAAATTAATTAAAAAAAATTTAGCTGTTAACTTTATTTCCTTTCCAATCATGTCCATATGAATACCCTACCATTGTTAAGCCAGCATCCCACTTTTTCTTCATTCTAATTCAGAGGATCTTGAGAGACCAGGGAAAACCTCCATTGGTCAAGAACCACTGCTCACTGGTAAGGAATAGACAGATTAAATTTGCGAGACAAGTGGAAATGAAACTGTATTTTTCATTAAATCTCCCTGTCATTGCCATCTCCACCATCTTTCCATATACTGATTGAGAAAATGGTCTAAAATATCCTAAAAATATAAAATCATAGTCACATGACTTCAGTTCATTCAAATTGCTATCATACCCCTTGTTCTCTTGCTTTTCTGGGAGACCATCAACCCAGGATTAATATTACTGCTGAAAAACTATGTATTGTGTGATCATCCAGCTTTATTTGCTACAAATGGTTAACACATGTTTTTATTCATAATGCTTGTAAAGTTCCCATTATAACCAGCTGCCAAATTCTGTCTTGTACTCTGCATTATTTCTTTCTTTCCCAGACTTTCCCATTAGAGACATCTACCACTCTTCAATTTTCATCTCTGTAGAATTTTCTTTCATCATAGCTCCTTATTTTCATAGATGGAGAAGTCATCAAAACTTGTGCCCAAAGGTTAGAGTCATTCATTAATCATTGACTTACTAGTCTTGCTACTCAATAGAATCTCATGAAAAAAAAAGCTGCTTTCATTCTTTATTTGCAGGCCCTGCTACTAATATTTCATATCATCTCAGCAAACACAGACGACTAGTGTCAGGTTCTGTGATGGGTGCAAGAGATAGAAATGTATTTGATATACAAGCAGCTCCTGCAGCTCAATTCCAGAAGAATAAACAACCCAATCAAAAAATGGGCCAAAGAACTAAACAGACATTTCTCCACAGAAGACATACAGATGGCTAACAAACACATGAAAAGATGCTCAACATCACTCATTAGCAGAGAAATGCAAATCAAAACCACAATGAGGTACCATTACACGCCAGTCAGGATGGCTGCTATCCAAAAGTCTACAAGCAATAAATGCTGGAGAGGGTGTGGAGAAAAGGGAACCCTCTTACACTGTTGGTGGGAATGCAAATTAGTACAGCCACTATGGAAAACAGTGTGGAGATTTCTTAAAAAGCTGGAAATAGAACTGCCATATGACCCAGCAATCCCACTTCTGGGCATACACACCGAGGAAACCAGATCTGAAAGAGACACGTGCACCCCAATGTTCATCGCAGCACTGTTTATAATAGCCAGGACATGGAAGCAACCCAGATGCCCATCAGCAGACGAATGGATGAGGAAGCTGTGGTACATATACACCATGGAATATTACTCAGCCATTAAAAAGAATTCATTTGAATCAGTTCTAATGAGATGGATGAAACTGGAGCCCATTATACAGAGTGAAGTAAGCCAGAAAGATAAAGACCATTACAGTATACTAACACATATATATGGAATTTAGAAAGATGGTAATGATAACCCTATATGCAAAACAGAAAAAGAGACACAGATGTATAGAACAGACTTTTGGACTCTGTGGGAGAAGGTGAGGGTGGGATGATTTGAGAGAATAGCATTGAAACATGTATATTACCTTATGTGAAATAGATCACCAGTCCAGGTTTGATGCATGAGACAGGGTTCTCAGGGCACCCTGAGGGGATGGGATGGGGAGGGAATTGGGAGGGGGGTTCAGGATGGGGAACACATGTACACCCATGGCTGATTCATGTCAATGTATGGCAAAAACCACTACAATATTGTAAAGTAATTAGACTCCAATTAAAATAAATAAATGAAAAAAAAGAAATTAGATATAAACATAAATGATTGTCTTTTAATAGTATTTATATGTTTGGGTTAGGTTTGTTTTCCTCTATTTAAAAATAAAATTCTTGGTAAGTCTTTACTTAAAAAAAAAAATAAAAAGAAATGTATTTGACACATGTTCTGCCTTTGAAGAACTTTCATCCAAGTGGAGGAACACAGTCATTATTTTCCCCTCAAATTTAATTTGTTCCATCTCATTCATTCTTAAACTTAACAAATAATTGAGAGTCTGCTAACTGATGAACACCAAGTTAGGCACTGGTGGTACTGAGATCAACAAAACAGACACGACTCTTCATTGAGCTGCCAAACTCAGGCTCAATGTCTGTGGAGGGCAGTTTTGACCAAGGAGCACAATGGCTACAAAGGGTTATGGCTGGTGCTGGTTCAGTGCTCAAACTGCCACCACAACTTTCCCCCTTTGTGAACAAAAGACTATCTCTATTTCCTTAGACAATTCTTAGGCACCAAAGCTCTCTGTTTGAGTGGAAGAAAGTCAAGAACCCAGCTAGCTAGCCCTAATTTTCATTTACTTTACCAAGTAGTCTGAGGGCTCAGAGGAGCTTGCTTTCTTGATTCAATTAACTGCTAAAGTCACACGATTATCTGATGTTTCATCCAAAGTCATCCCTGATCCTGCCACAACTGCCAGTCTACTAAGTAGTACAGGAAGAAGAAAATTTTTAAAACACCAGAAATTTGTTTCTTAGCCAGATTGATCATAGCTATTCTGCCTTGTGATAGGATGGAAGTTCAGCTAAAAATAACCTGAAATGTATTTGACCAAAGGTTGCTCTATCAGGAAAGGACCATTCTGTTATTTCTGCTTAATCATGGGCCAGTGCAGGGGACAAAGAAGTGGAAGATGAAACTTCAGAAGATAAAACATCTCGATTGTTTGAAGGGTCTCAAGGGCTATGCACACCCATGTGTGTCTGCTTGGGTAGGAAAAGAGCAGGGAGACAAGCTGGTCTGGGCAGGGGCTATGTGAATATTTCTGTAGTATCTCAGAATTGGGGTATCTGTTTGTATATGTGTGTCTGTGGAGTGCCTGGGGTGGTGTGCAAGCTGTTTTGTTTTTTTTTAATTCTGCATAAACTTTCTTATTTTACCTCAATGTATTAATGGATGTAGATTCATAAGAGAAAGTGAGTGTGTGTGTGTGTGTGTGTGTGTGTGTGTTCAAAGAGTAGCTACAGTTGCTTTCTTATGAAAATATTAATCAATCACTAATTCCCAGCAATAAAAAAGAGAGCTGCACCTACCTGGAGAATTTGGTTATCCCCCTGTCTGGTCTCACAACCACTTATGACTTCCTCTCCTGAGAACTAGCTTGTTTCTCCAGTTGACTCCTACACCTTGCCTGATTGAAGGAAGACCCAGGTAAAGACATTCCTAAACCGCTTCTCAGCCCCCAGTCTTTTCCCCCTCGTAGTTCATTCTATACAGACTGCCAGATGAATCATTCTAAAATAATGGCTCCACATTACCTATAGGAAAAACTATCATGACACTACACAACCGTTTGTGTTTACCCAAAAGATCTAAATAAGCTTTGACCCTGCTAAGTAGTAGTCCCACTGAAGATAAAGAAAAATATCTATATAGTGAGCAGAGACATTTCATATTTTTTAACATAATTTTTCTGATTTTAAGACTTTAATTTTCAACCCAAAGTCACTCATTCAGCAAAACTATATGGAACATCTAATAACTTCAGACATTCTGAGTACATAATAGCTTCTTTGTTTCACATCATGATAATCTTTCAAATATCTAATATTTGGAATCTGAAGTAGGTATTTATCAGGTCCTCCATTATGACAGGGTCTCACGTCTGAACTCTCTACTGCATTCTTTACTTTGGCAGCAAGGGAAAAAGGTAGGAGCAGGGGAAGTCCTCGTAGATGGCTCATGAATCATCCCCTTGCTAGTTCTGCTATAGTCATTGTTTAGTCACTCAGTCGTGTCCGACTCTTTGCAACCCCAAGGACTGCAGTCCACCAGGCTCCTCTGTCCATGGGATTCTCCAGGCAAGAAGACTGGAGTGGGTTGCCATGTCCTTCTCTAGGGGATTTTCCCGACCCAGAGATCGGACCTGCGTTCCTATTGGAAGGCGGATTCTTTACCACTGGGTCACCTGGGCAACCCAGTTCTGCTGTGCCCTGCCCTATTCCTTGAATCTGCTCTGAAGCTCTCCTTCTCCTTACACCTACTCACATCTACAGAAGAACCAGTGTCTAGAAGTAGGTTTGACTCTTCCCCCAAATGGTTTGCATTGCTGTGGTCTGTCCACTCCCCCAATGAATGCTTGTTTGCAAGAAGTGGACTTTTTTAAATGACACCACCAGTTGCTAGACTGAGAGTCCTCCACCACCTGCCCTTCTCATATGACCTATTTGTGCTAATTTGTGTGTGGTGGACCAAATATAAAGGGTGAGGGTCAGAGAAAGTTTAATTGAGAATAGGGAGCCAAGCTGAATTTTGAAAGACACGTTGCAGAAAGAAGGGAATGGTACTCCTGATGCGGGGGTAGTATATGCTTGATATGTGAATAGGCGGGGAGAGCAGGGAAAAAGATGCATTTAGTTAAATGTAGGATGGTGAGGGTAGGGAATTCATCAGACAAGATTTCTCCTTAGAATATAGCTCCAAGGCCCTGCCACAGGAAAAACCCAATTTATTTACTTTGACCTGCTGCAAAATCTTTCATTTTTACCTTTGCAGAAACCATACTTACCATGTCAGTGTCTGACACAGGGCCAAAACTGGTCACATAGATGTCAGTCTTCACTTCAGTCACTGCATCTGGTTGAAAGAAAGTAGGAAAGCAGAGTGTTAGGAAAGCCTGTTGCCTTAGCTCACATAGAGTCCAGTGCTGTTCTCCAAAAGATAGCAAACTTACTACTTCTAAGAAAGGATGTTTGGTAATATCATAGGAAAACCCCTCAAAAAACTCTCATCTGTACTGTTTCTTCACAGAGAATGTGCTTAGTATAGGAACAAAGTCCATCCATTTAGATACCATTGACAGTAAGAGCAGAATCCCCAAACTCCAGAGCCCTTCGAAATCTCCAACATTCACACATGCTGGGATGTCACACTGGGATTATCCTTACCTGTAGTAGGTTACAAATGTTCAGGATATAGGATGATTGTACTGCCACTTCCCAGCCCACTTAAAGTAGAGAGGGGACATGTGACTGGTTTTGGTTATAGGAAGAAGAAATATGTGTCTCTTCCTTTGGAACAATTAATGTCCAATGCAAGACATTCCCTGCCATGGTAATCATGGGAACATATGTTTATATGGAGCTACTATAAGACTTAAACAGCCTGGAATGATGACCCAGAATTTGGAGGACAAGTGCCCTGGAGAGTTGCCTGGATCTACAATAGATTTTGCATCAATGAGAAGTAAACTTCTGTGGGGTTAAGTGACTGAGATTTGGAGATGACTGATGGCCTCTGATACACTTTCTTTGCATTTTTCCATTGTAACTGTCTGTTTACTTGTCTGCCTTCCCACAAAACCCAAGAGCTCCTAAAGGGCAGTGTTCCTGTTTTGTTACATCTGTGCACTCAGTACATAGAAAAGGAGTCTGTTACTCAGAAACTGCTCACTGAACATTTTTGGTACTAATGGATGAATTGTATCACATATGTATTTGCCAAGTTGGAAAATGATACTCAGACAAGTGAAATGACTGCACTGCTAAGTTTCCCTTTTCCTCCTTCTGTCAGCCCCATTTACCTCATTGCAGCCAACCCACTCCAACATACCTCAAACAGAACACAGGGTAGCCTTCTTCAGCTTTGCAAAGTCAACGAGACCCTACCAAACACCTCATCAAGTGAGCAAGGCTCACTCCAGTCCAGCATGAAAGTGAAAGTGTTAGTCACTCAGTCGTGTTTGACTCTTTGCAACCCCATGGACTGTAGCCCGCCAAGCTCCTCTGTCCATAGGATTCTCCAGGCAAGGATACTGCAGTGGGTTGCCATTTCCTTTTCCAGGGGATCTTCCCGACTGAGGGACTGAACTCAGGTCTCCCACATTGCAGGCAGGTTCTTTACTGTCTGAGCCACCTGAAGTTCCCTCCAGCCCAGCATACCTGACCCCAGCAGCGCATGCCAGTAGCACAGCTAATACACATAAAGCCCACATAGGACTTGATAATCAGGTTGGTTACTGCAGTCAATGGCACTATTTTCTTAATTTTAAAATTTATATTTCTTTTTTTAATTGAACTATAGTTGATTTAAAATATTATGTTCGTCTTAAGGGTACAATATTGCAATTCAATATTTTATAGATTATACCACAGTTAAAGTTATTATAAAATATTGGTTATAGTCCCTGTGCTGTATATTACACTATTTCTTCTACCTCATGGAAAGGTAATGGACAAAAAAACTCCATTTATAGCATGTTTACTATATCCATCCAGCCCTGGGTCCTAGCCCAGATGTACTTTATATCTTGTTGACTTCCCATTTTCCAGAGCCATCCCTTAGGCTTAATACATTGCTCCCCTATACAGGCACATAGTATACTCAAGGCCACTGCACGCATTCACAAACATTCCATTTTCAAAAGAGACTATGAATATCATTTAATAATCATCAAAGATATAGTCAATTCACCAAAACACACAATTTACTTCCAAGCTCATTCAGCAAATAGCATGTCTCAAACTAGAGTTGTATTTTAAGTATTTGGGCTTTCATTTAGAGCACAGTCTTCCCCATATTTCTGTGCTTCAAGGACAAGAGACAATACTTCAGAATTCATAAGCTACCCCCTAAAGAATTGTCCCTTCAGATACACTGCCATATTCACTGGCTGTAGAAACATTGCCTTACCCCAAAGTACATAAAACACAATTAATTAATGGGAGAGATCACAATTACAGTTTAATCCAATATTCCAGGCAGGACATAGTTAGACACAGAACAACTTTCTAAACCAATTTAATTGTAAAAGTGGGCTTCCCTGGTGGCTCAGTGGTAAAGAATCTGCCTATCAATGCAGTAGATGTAAGACGCCCGTTTGATCCTTGGGTTGGGGAGATCCCCTGGAGTAGGGCATGGCAACCAACTCCAGTATTCTTGCCTGGGAAATCCCATAGACAGAGGAGCCTGATGGGCTACAGTCCATAGGGTCACAAAGAGTTGGACACAACTGAAGCAACTTAGCACACAAGATAGTTATACAGATTAAAAATAGGCACCCATACTATAAAAGAAAAAGGAAAAGACAATCAGTAGTGATAAAGTCAGGAGACTGCTCTAGTTCCAAGAGGACAGTGGAGTCACTGTAGGTAGAAAAGAAGAGTCTTGGGCTGGGATACAAAGGCTTACATTCTGGATCTGTGCCTGACTTTCTGAATGCCTTAAGATCTTTTTTCCTTTTGGCTTTTCTCTTGTACAGGAGGTTTGTAACCAAACACATTTGAATTTTCTCTCTGCTCTGACTAGGAACCCTGATAGTGCAAAAAGCATGTGACTAAAAGTGTCCAATGACAGCAAAAGGCAAGTTTTTTCTGTTGCCCGAAGAAGGTAGGAGGTCAGTATGATCAGGCCACCCAAGATGGCTGTTCTCGCTCTCTGTACATCCCCCTGCTGGACCAGTCTCTGCTTCACCTACAGCCCATTCCCATGACTGACCTTCCCTCTTAGTCATAGAGGCCGATCAGTAAATGCCTATGTACTCACTTCTGGCCCCAGTTAGTGACTGATCTAATCTTAAGATCAGAACTATCTCCACTATGATGATTTATCACAGTGGCAGTGAGGGGTGCACCCCTCTACTGCTTCCCCTGGCAACTGATGAGCACCAACCTAACATCAGTTCCCCCCATTACTGGTAACCTTCCTCCCACCCACTGATTGCTAAGAAGAGGCTGCTTTCCCAATGAATTAGGTCTCAGCCAAGCTTCAGAACTTTCTCTGACTTGGAAGCAGGGAAAGACTTGGAAGTTTGGTCTATCTAGTGCAGTGGACACAAATTCATTCTTTCTCTATTTCAGTCCCATTTTGAAAGAATCTGGTAGATAAGAGAATTAGGGGAAGTGATACTAAATGAAGGGGAGGTAAAGGAGGGGGGAGAAAGAAAAAGAGAGGGGAGGGAGGATGGTAATTAGAATCTGATTGGAGGGAAAAGCAGAATAGAAAGGATGAATAACAAGAGTTAGACAGCAAGAGATAGCAAGAGCTAACAGCACTAAAGAAAGACAAAGCAAGAGAAAAATGCTAAAAGAAAAAGAGAAGTAATGCTCTTGTCACCAAAGAAGTCAGAAATCTCTCAAGGAGTAGGGTATGAAGATAGGGATTGCCACTTGCATCACGGCAGCACAAGTGACGGAGGGCTCTGAATTTATGTTACCATCCTTAGATCTCTAGCCCTCTACTGTAAGACCAGGTAAACACATGGACATTTGACATTTCTTCAGTGTCCCATACAGGGACCACAAAGCCCCAATTACTAAATCCCATCTTTTGACTAGGGAATCTAGGTTCTTTGGAGCAGTATATATGACAACACACAGAAGTACTCTGCAGAAGTACTGTACAGTGATTAAAAGCACCACTAACTGGATCTGAATTTAGGTTCTGTCATTTACTCTTTGTGTGCCCTTTCTCACTTAACTTTGTTATGCCAGTTTCTTCATCTGGAAAATTAGGATTATGATACCATGTATTTCAGAATTGCTCTGAGGATTTAAGGAGACAGTATTGAGACCAGTATTTAGAACAAATCCAGTGCTCACTGGATGTTAGCTGCTGCTGCAGCTTAATACTTTTCCAGAGGCAAGGCCACATGAGCCACCCATAGGCCAAGGTGGACACAGAACTCACCCAGAAGCCTAAGGTCCTCAATTCCAGACAAAGAAGAGTATCCACCCTCCACTCCAGCTCCTCTGTGTGAAGGAATAATTAGAAGTTTGCTATTTCATTCAATTAAATGAAAAGACCAGTGAGTTAGACTAAAATTGGTGAGGGCTACAATTCATAGTCTAGCCCCTGTTGACAGTCTTCTCATTTTTCAAACGTAAGACATGATTTAATTGGGAAATGAGTGGAATTCTTTCTTATTTTTAAACAAATATTTTCTACGTTCCTTGGCTCTTTTTAAATTACTTTGAAGATCTAATTTCCTTCAAATATTACCTCCTGAAACTAAAGGTGAACAGAATTATCTTTTCCTTTTGCAAATTTACTGTGGTATTGGAAGTAAAATTTCAATAAAATAAATTGGAAGTAAAATATAAACTTGAAATTTATATTTATATAAACACACATGCCTTTAGCCCTCAGCAGTACTCCCATTGGTGGGGAACTTATCAACCAGTTCCTAATGCCATTCTAACTTGCTTTTGATCTGAAAGAGTAAAGATAAGCAAGTGATCACTATGTTTGTGTTAACTATGAGGCTCATGTGTGTGCTGTGTGCTTAGTCGCTCAGTTGTGTCTGACTCTTTGAGACCCCATGGAATGTAACCCACTAGACTCCTCTGTCTATGGGATTTCCCAGGCAAGAATACTGGAGTGGGTTGACATTTCCTCCTCCAGGGTATCTTCCCCACCCAGAGATTGAACACACGTGTCCTGAGTCTCCTGCATTGCAGGCGATTCTTTACCCACTTTCATCTCACAACAAACTGTATTTCCTTGTTTGAATTAAAATAGATCCCCAATAAGCTGTGAATTTTCTTCTTTGAGCACAAACCAGAGTAGGTTCCCCAACTCTAGCTTCTCCACTCCAGCACACACATAAACATTTGTCTTAGTACTGCCCTTTGGATCCA